TAGCTATCCATTGGTGACTCCATACAAGAAGTTTCGCAGCTGTTTGGAGGTGACATGAATTCCAAAGCCAGTCAGGCTGCGACTGGAGATGACTTCATATTTTGGTGTACATGAAGGTGATGGGCGAGAGCCAGCTCCTGCTCGAGGAACATCTTGGGTATCTTCCGCCCTGGTACTCGTATCCACGTCCTCTGTCTGGGCAGCGAAAACTTTGCTGATATGTGACTCGGTCGAAGTGACTTTTTTTGCCCCCCCCCTGTATTCATCTCGCCCATACAAAAGAGCCCTCCATGGGTGGGCCTAAACTTGTCTTAAGAGGACGTGCTTTACATGACCGGATTAACGGGAAGCGTAGCAAGTCTCCCGATCAGGTCATCCGGCTACAATGAGCCTTCTTCGTTGGCTGAGGTCTTTAAGGCTGATTTCAGTATAAACGAGCAATCTGTTAGGGATTCAATGATCGCTCTATGAGTTCTTCATTTTAGCAGTGCCACGGGGTCACTCTAATGTCTTCATTTGCAAAAGTTAGAGTCAACATTTATTAGTTACTTATCTAAAAATTGTTTGACCCAATAGCATTCGTTGAAATCAACGAATTATAAATTTCATTGAGTAGAACGATACTAAAGGAGTAGAGTAGTAGGAACTCCATGAAAATTTTTTACTAATAATTAATAAATAATTAAATGATTTGGTACTCGGTCTAAAATGCTGGCAGAGTGCTATATAGTGGGGGAAAATGGCGAAAAACGAAGTGAAACGGTCAAAAACCTGCGAAGAAGCCTTCGTTCTTCATAATTTAGAAAGCAATTTCGGACGAGTTTCCCGTTGGCATCTCGCCAATAGCCGCTACTGTGATACAACTGCACGTACGCCTTACATATCCATGCAGCACCGCAGCCGCTTCATACCAATCCCTTCGCTTCATATTTTACTTCGCAAATGAAGCAATACGAGCATCAGGTCGGTCGGACATTTGTGGGCGGGCGGGCGCGGTGGGCGTCCGGGTCGGTATGTTGCAGCTTGATAGGGCCTTATAAGGGTACCTTCTTTGGAAAGGCGCTACGCAGCGCCTGCTTAGGGGCGCGGAATTCCGTCCTGCCAGGCGTATTAATCCTACTCGGCTTAGGCACTTATCGTGCCTACTGCCTCTAACCAGCATTCTGAAGGACACATCATTGTGCAAAACTGGATCGGACTTTCTGCCTGATGTCTTTTTGTTTAGCGAATTTTCCTTGCATCGACTTGACGATGTGGACACCCACTTTACTGTTTTCAATTACAGTGATGACGAGAAAGTTTTACAGGTATTTCCTTGTAATCTTTGTTACCAACAGTTTTCATTATACTTTTTTACTTGAACTTCATTTTTGCTGTTAAATTTTGTTATATTCTTACTTTTATTCAAATTTTTCTCAGATGAAATGTCCAGACTTTATCGAACGAATTGAAGCAGCCCATCCTTGTATCAAGTGGTCGATTGTTCAGAAGCAAATAAACCAAGTACTAAGGAACGCACTGGATGCTGCATGCCAGTTCGTGCCTTTTTCCATATTAAAACAGTGTAATTGATGTTTACATGTGAAATTCAGCTGGGATCCACCTCGAGGAATGGCCAAGAATGTGCAGTCGAGAGCCATGTACGGCGCTGATATCATGCTTCAATGGAAAGATAAAGGTACGGGGTTGTTTCTTTTCTCATGATTGCAGTACGTTATAAGGGTGGAGTACGTCCGGGCGCAGTTTGACGAAGGGGGGGGGCATTTTGTACTATCATTGCTTCCCTAGTTCCGGTTTACAAGTCTCACTCTGGCGAAACCTGTGAACTCTTGTGAAGCTGGAGCAAGCTCATCTAGCCATCATGGTAAAACCTGTCAACTCGAGAAGAGGCTGCCTAGATAGGTCGACACGTCGATGGGAAGTAGCGAAAGTGCAAAATGCCCCCCCCCTCCGTCGTCGTACTGCACTGCTGTACGTAAGGAAGAAGTAGGGGTGCTGTCAACTGCAGAGAAGGGTTAGTGCTTGGCGACGCGTCCATTCTCTGTACTCGGGGCTGGGAGTATCGAGCTCATTCACTGGTGTTTTTTCGTTTTACGAGCCATCAAATGGGGCCAGTAAATGAGGCGCAAGATAGCACAAATTCTCACAACCACAGCACCCTGCAATATTGCGCGTTAAAGGGCGACTGTATTTGACGTGGGCGGGTGCATCATGCATCGCAAGTACGGTCAATCGTACATTGAGGACCTCAGAAAGGGTCGTATATGGCGGCAAAAGGGGAGGCTGACCGCTTCGACTCCTTTTTTATCAAGGAAGGTAGTACGGAGACAATCAGGAGGAGGGGAGTCGCACAGGTCTTGTTTCCCTCGGCACCATGTTTGCACCCAGAGCCACTGCCCCCTTGCCCCCTGATATGTGCTGCACTCAGGGCAGTTAGTACGTTGGGAATCCTTCGGAGGGGAAGGGTCGTTTCGGTTGCTGGAGGGAGAGGGGATTGTACCTGCCTCCGAGAATATTGACTCCAGTTTTTTTATTGGTTTTTCGTGCGCTATAGGCCCTCCCCGATCACC